GAGCCAATCTCCAGACTCCAGCATGGCCGAGGTTCTTACAGAATGACATTGCGCGCCATTTCTAAGTGACTCCTGCAACAAAGATGCCGCATAGCCCTGTTCGAGCCCATAATGTGCAGAGTGGCTTGATTTTTGCTGCTTGTTGGAAAGTGTTGGTGCGAGAGATGCAAGTGGCTGAGTGAATTGGCTTCCGTCGGCTCTGCTGCTCAACAAAGTCTGGGCCAGCGAGTCGGCAACGAGGAAGACGCTGGGCCAAGACAGCGAACGGGTAATCAGACAGCCAATTCGGACACCGAATACCGTCAGAATGGCTTTGGCTGGCATTGAGGATGCTGTCAAACCTGGCAGGAGGTTCAACCTGTAGATAGGCGATTGCCCAGCTTGCGATGTGGAGGAGGCAGCTTTGGGCGGGCCTTCGCCAAAGGCATCTTCTGAATCGAGATCTGTAGAGTCCGTGAGGATCAAGGGTCGAAGCGGCAGGGATTGTCTCCAGTCTGGTAACCAGCCTGGCCAGGCTACTGGAATGTTGGTCCTGTATCTGCCAGCGGCACTGATGATCGCCAAGTCATGCTCTTTATCGATGCAGTGCAGAAAGACCTTCAGATAGAGGTAAAATAAATCCTCCTCCTGGGAAGAGACCGTCCCTGAAGACTGCGGAATTCCCGGTCTCGACTTCAAAGCCTCGAGCAGATCAGGCATCAAGCCCAGTAACGCATAGACGGCGTCTTCGGGTTTCGTGCTCGTCCGTGGCCTAGTCAGCATGAGTAACTTACTCAGCTTCAGTGTGCCTTTTTCCAGCTCGTTTCTAACGGTTAGGATATTTGCAAAGAAGCCGTCCGAGTCGTACAAGAGACTCGAGCTGCGCAGTTTGGAAGCATAATGGAAGTACCAAAGAGACAAGTCACTCCATGCCATTTCGAGGTCGCCACAGCAGACGATCGCGGCATTCGCCAGAATGATTTCTTGGAATGTCCACTTCCTCGTGAAGTATACATGTTGAAAAATCGACAGTGCGTGCTTCAACGTGGGAGGAGTACTGTGCCGTCGATTCTTGGGCCGGGGAGACGACAAGCTATTGAGGCTAGAGGTTGAGGAGGAGAGGCTGCTGAGGCTTTCCCGCGAGCCCGATGCACAGCTGGGATATCGCGACATTCGGGGAGACTTGGACGTGCCCCGTGGTGTGAGGGGTCTTGTTCGCGGCGTCGAGGGACCACTTGACGAGTTCAGAAAGTCGGATCGCACCAGACTCAAACTCAGAGAGGTCTCCTGGAGCAGTTCAAAGGCCAGAGCCATCTTCTGGTCATACCTGCCGAGCCAGACAATGACACGGCACGCAGACGAATACAGACTTCCTGGGTCGGCATAAGCACGCAGAAGGGTCATTCAACGAGCACATCGGCTGAGCATACCCATTAATCCAACTTGTTTCATCACCTCCTCTCCTTGATTCTGATTGATGCTGAGCTGGTCCACCCATAGTCTTCTCCAGGCATCCGGGTACCGCAGATGAGAAAGCGCCATATATAGAGACTCGGTGACGGGAAAGTCAAAGCCATTGCACGAGATGATTTTGGAGGGGATGGTTTCCCCCCAGACGTAGGAGAGGGCTTCGAATTGAGTACTTTTGGGAGATGGTACCACCTGCAGCTCACAGTGGATAGGGCTGCCTTTATCGCCTGGAGCGAGTAACAAGGTGCGGATCTCGTCGCCATGGAGGGTGCTGTAGACATCCTGCGCAGTGGCATCGCCGTCTAAAATGAATCCGCGGTCGTCCATTGTCAGCGTCCGAGTGTTCCTCGCATGGCTGGCAAGACCCTCGCCCTCAATTGAATGGTCGGTATTCCGGCCGTAGACTTTTGGCAGGTTCCACACCAGCGAACTTTGTCTGGAGTCTGTGGTACGATGTGGGCACAAATTGTGGTCTTGTACCGAATACAAAGGTGAGAAGAGACGAGAAAGGCCGAGATGGAAAAAGGTGCTTCGCCGAGTCGGGATTTTCTGGCCCCCAATTCTTGTGACGGAAACTGTGAAACTGCCTCGCCATCCTTATTTATCGTTTAGCAAATCCGGGAGGGCTTTTATGCTGAGCATTTAATCATCTGTGTCCCTCGGTTTTTTTGTATATAAGATCTCATATAGACATTAGACTCTATGAAAATGGCATCGTTCTGTCAGCCAATCCGTCATTATATCCTCTTTCATCGCCATATCATATCTCTATAAGCTCATCATCGTCATCTCATTCAATATATGGCCTTTATACTCCATCCAGCGCCCACCACTCTTGCCGCCGTTAGCATGATCAACGACGCCGCATAACTGCAACTGGTGAATGCAATCAACCCCCAATACTCTCCCTTGCACGCCGTCACCAATTGTCCCGCAATCGGAATGCCGGTCAGGGAGCCAAACGACACCAGAGTATAGCAGGTAGCATAATACCGTCCATAATTTTCGACCCTGCACAGCTGTCCCACGCAGACGGGTGTCAGCGAAATTCCTGAGCCGGAAGCGAACCCAAACACGAGTGCGTAGACGATGATCAGTGCAATGGATCCATTGGCCGGAAGCCAGAACGCCAACGTCGACACCATGCACAAAAATATGGTCACAACCATGGCGTTGAACCGGCCGACCTTGTCGGCGACAAAACCTGGAAAATATCGACCAAAGCATGAACCGACGTTCAGGATTGCGATGATCTGGTATGAGAACGAGGTAGAGACGCCGTGGCTCAGGGCATAGCTGCTCAGATAGGTAAGAGGGACAAAAAGACCCCATTCAACGAAGAAGACCCCTGCGGTGGTCAACGCAAAGACCGGGTCCCGAAAGATGCGGACATCGGGGAGAATATTTTCCTTGGTGGCTTTGCGTGGCGGGAGCCGTGATCTGATGAACAAGTTGGCAAAGATGAGGAGGACAAGGTTGATCAAGGCGCTGACTCGAGTCGACCACGCCCAGCCGATTTTGGGAAACAGTGCCTGGAGTGTCAGCGGGAACAGGATCCCACCCATGGACCCGCCAGCGGCAGCCAGTCCCGTAGTCTGGCCTCTTTTCCTCAGGAAGTAGTGGCCAACCGCGGCAATGGCGGGCGTGAACACCAAAGATGTCCCAATTCCACCTACAATGCCTATAACAATCAGGAAGTGCCAGTACTCCGTGCACACCCCCATCAGGAGGTGCGAGGCGACCATGAAAACAGACCCAGCAAATACCAACCAACGAGGCCCTTTGGCGTCAAACACTGGCCCAATCTCCATGCCCAGGAGAAAGGAGAGGAAGGCGTAGATGCCGAAAATCCAGCCAACGGTGCTCTCACTCTTGCTTTGCAGTTGATGTGTGGAAAGATATGCCTGGTATGTTCCCAACGTGTTCATCATCCCCAGCGCACTCATCAAGCCGCAGAAAGAGCCAAACACGCATAACCACGCGTCTCTGCCTCCCTCTGGATAAGTATTGCCATAAGCATCGGTAGAGACCCGACTGGCAGTCGCCAATTCACTGGGCACCTCGTGCAGTGTCGGTGTTCTGGAACTTGACGCTTGTGAGGATGATCTGGCTCGTGGTTTCCCGGAAGCATCATGACTATGCGACTGTTCAAGGCCACAACAATAAGATGCGAATGGTGCTGCAGCTATTGATGGTGCCGCGGATGGGGTCTGCCGCAACCCGAGATCGGACCGTTGAATTTCAGTGATTTCATGAGTTTCTTTAGTTTCCCTGACAGCCATATAACCCGGTTGCTTCTCGGCTACCTCTGCATCTCCTCCAGTCGGAGTGGTGAAGGCACCGAGAGTTTGCTCACTGTCCTTCCATGACTCTTTTTCGAGGTTCTGGCTGGGTGTCGGGGAGCCCGACCTGGCCCTACCAGGGCTTGAGCATGGTGATTGTGGTGGAGATGGATGAGTATCCGAAAGATGATTTGCTTCGGGAGGCAATCTCTGCTGACCCCGGGGAGCTCCGTGGGCTTGTTGTTGTTCTTTGGAGTGATCGAAGGTCATGGACTGTACTCTTTTGGGGGAAGGGTGAAGTCTTATGGTTGTTGATTGTCGTCGGAGATCAGCTGTTAGTTTTGATCTTGGGTGGTCGGCGTAGTTTTGTGAGAAATGTGGAGGGGAAATCCCAACCAAAGAGTCCGCCAATATGTATTTATCTGATTTGACTGATATCTTTCAAAATTTCTGCAATGACAACAGAGTCGATCTGTGGCGGCAAGACAGGGCAGATGATGAGCAAAGAAGAAAAGGTGCAAGACGAAGAGGCGGTTGTCGTACCAAAACCGAACCAGGCCATTGTAGAAAGGAAAAGCCTGATGAGCGAAATCGGTCATATCCGCTCTCAACTTTTGTGTGGAGGTGGATCTCTCAACTAGGATGCATTGATCGTCGAAACAAAATGTTGACTTGTGATGTGCTGTGTGTGGAGAGCGACTGCGAGGGTGTTTAGCGAGCGCACTCAAGCGCTGTGGGCAACAACAGAGAAAAAGCGCTGGAGAACGAATGAATGAGGGGAAGCCGAAGCTCTGTGTGGAGAGGCCATCCGTACCTCGTACTTGGTGTTCGTACATGATGTCGTACATTTAACATTTATCGAGCGATGCACACTCGTACTGTCGTCTATGTCACTGTCTTGTCCATGAGGCTGCTGGAAATTCTAAAGACTAGAAACAAAACAATTGCACAGGGCAGAGAAAGTAAAAGAAAGAGGTAGAGCAAGGTGCGAGTGGTTTCTGTTGTGTCATGTCGCATTCATTTCTAGAACCGCTCATTAGGTTGCGAGTCGTCCTTCTCCCGCAGCCGTGCTGCTTCCAGTTCCATTCCATATGCACAAAAATCGACAAAGCATAACTAAACGCTCGCTCACATTCCTTTTCTTGCCCATGGTCCTGTTGGATATTCTGGTGCGCAAGGAGGGACAGAGTGTATGAAGGTGGCGTGAATGCCCGGAAGCGTCCTCTTGCCGTCTGGCTTTCCAATAATTTGTCTTCCGTCGTATTCACGTCATCTCACACTCAGCTCCTCTCTCAATTTAGATGGCTCATTCGGGTTGGCTGCTACCATTTTGTTTCTCCTGCCTAGCAACGTGGAGTTGTCCAGACTCAATTCGAATGGCTGCTTGTTCCGCCGCCCAACGCTCTGCTTGGCTGCCGCCGCCACTGCTGCGCTATGCTGGCCGTATCCTCTCTGCTCCTGCTGAGTATTATGATGTTGGCTTCTGGCAGGTGCTGCTGCTGCGCGTGCTTGGGCCGCGGCAGAGGGTTGCGTTCCGAGATTGGTTTGACGCATCTTGGCTTCCATACTCGACACGTCGGCTGGTTGCTGATTCTTCGGAACTTTGCTGGATACTTCTTCTTCGTAATCTTCGTCCTCATCATCTTCGTCTTCATTCAGAGGATTTAGTCCACCAGGCATTCCTGCTCCTCGGTAGCCTTGCTTGAAGTTCTTTCTCCTCTTGGCTTCTTCCTCCTGTCGGTGTACGGCATAACCAACGTCAAATACTTCACGGAGGTTGACAGCTCCAGGCGATCGGAAGTCTGCTCGCTTTGCTCCCGGTGTATTGGGTGTGGTGAGGAAGTCAGCAGGGAGGTTGCCCGCTTGGGCGATCTCCTTCTGGCGAACATACAAAGGTGTTGCGAGAGGTGGTGCATCTGCAGCAGCATAGGTGGGCTCGTTAGTATTCCGAATCCAGGGATGGTTCAAGAATTCTTGAATGGTATAGCGACGGTCGGGGTTAACGGTCAGAAGATGTGACACTAGGTCTTGTGCTGATTTCGAAATATCGTCCCACCAAGGTGATAGGAAGGTATATTGACCCCGGGCGACCTTTTCCGTCAAGACTTGGATCGACTCATCATAGAAAGGAGGAAACCCGCAAAGTAGGGTGTACAGCACACAGCCAAGAGCCCACATATCGACCGACTTGCTGTAGCGTTCATCCTTGACAATCTCAGGGGCAGTGTAGCCGACTGTACCGCAAGGTGTCATGGTTTGAGAGTCCCATATCACCTTGGAAAGACCAAAATCGGCAATTTTGATTTGGCCGATACCGCCAGCACCGACACCTGGAATAAATTCTCCCTCATCGGCTTTTTCTTCGTCTTCGGGCCCTCTGGGTTTGGGATTGCGAGTTGGAATAAATGGAATGGGATAAAATAGGAGATTTTCTGGTTTGATGTCGCTAGAACGATGTTAGTTACTCCCGCGAAACCCGCCATTACGGTCCCAATACGTACCGATGGACCACACCGGTCTCTTCATGTAGATATAGCAGGGCATTGGCGACCTGAGTAATGACATGTCGGCTTAGGTCTTCGCTGAAGTAGGTCAAGCGGACAATCTGGTGGAACAACTCGCCACCCGGACACAGCTCGAGAACGATATAGTAGTACTGCCGGGACTCGGAAAAGTCAATGAGCTTCACGATATTGGGATGGTCCAATTGGCGCATGATTTGGACTTCTTTGAGGATATTGGCTCGCTATAACAAGAGGTTAGTCTTTATTCGGACGGAGGCTAGGGGTGTTTTGAATGCGTCAATTGGGTCAGAGTGTATGTGGTAAGGGGGAGGTTCGGATAAGGTGGAAGTGCGCACCTCCACGCCCTTTGGTTGTTTTTTGAAGTTCGGATGAAGGTGAGCATCGCCCTAGGTTAGAAGAGGTTGGTTTTGAAGCTGGTTTTAAAGAAGGAAATGAACGGTAGAAAGAGACAAGGAGGGGAGATGTGCAATGCGAGGGACGACAGAGCTAGGGCGTGGGCAAGGAAGGGGAAGGGAAAGCTTCCGAGACATGGCAGTGTCCCATGACTCCCGGCATACCTGATTCGAGTTCATTTCGAACTTACGGACCACCTTGATGGCGACCTCGTCTCCGGTCTGGGTATCTCTGGCCTTGTAGACGTTACTGAAAGCGCCGTCTCCCATCTTTTCGACCAGGATGAATCGTTCAAGACCAGGATAGCGGGGCATCTTGCTGGCCTTCTCCCTCTCCTCGGCAACAATGGCTTCGATATCTGCCTGGATCTTCTGGTTCTTGCCCGCAGCGTGGGCTGCGGCACCTCCGGCTTGAGCAGCCACATTTCGATTGTCGCCGCCGGCGACGGAATATTCACCCGGTTGAGGTTGGACTTGATGGTGCTGTTGCTGTCTGTGATGGTTGCCTATAGGTTCGCTGACGCCGTGGTGATACTTCTGTTGTTGAGCGTGAACTGTAGAGACGTTGGTGGTGGGATGATCGCGGGGAGGGTCGGCAACGCGGGCTTGCTTCCCATGACGTATAAAGTTCTTGAGGTTCTGAATGGTGCTCATTTTAGCCAATGGTCCTGTGCAGATCAACGCACAGGGCGGCGATATGAGGAGAGAAGAAGGAAGCGTGGAAGAAATCTCGAGAGACTGCGGTCGGTGCCAGCGGGTAACACAAGAGGTTACGAGATGGAAGAAAAAGTTCACGGCAGTAGGCAGGAGGCAGTAGTAGGCAGGGTCCCGGGGCCCAGATTTTCGGTGGTTACAGGAAACGGCGAAGTGGATGATTCAGCAGCAGGATAAGCGGAACGCAGCTTTGACGGAATGAGGTGAAGTGCCAATGACCGGTCTTGGTTTTTTGAGATGGCTTATGCGAAGTGGAAGCGGGGCGGGGAGAGGGGGGAAGTGTACGCGGGGCGTATCAGGCTTAAACGAAGAAATGAAAATGAGATGTGGCGAGGTAGAAGCAGAGTGAGAGATATGCTGGAGTGGTTTTGAAAGGAGAGAGGTGATGAGGTGGGAGTGTAGATGGTTTGGATTGTAAGAGAGGGAAAGTTGGAAAGGAACGGAAGGGGAACAGTGGTGAGGTGGTGCGCAGACAACAGAGTCAGTGACGGATGGGTGACGACGGAGGAAGTGGTTGGAGGGGCAAAAATGACCCCGAAGTATGTAAGGCTTCAGGCAAAAGGCGTAGCTAAGCAGCTAGCGAAATAGGTACCAGTTGGTGGCAGTGGTACTTCCCAGTGGTGCCGGTGCTGCGTAATAGGGGGCGCACTGGCTTTCAGATGAGGCATGACGGGGGATGACTGGCGGAGGCTATGGGCGTGGGTGGGTGGCGTAGGTAGGGGAAAGTGATGAGATCATACCCGTGGGCAGTTGTCCAGGGCACATCAAGAGGGGGCCCGACCGTACACCAGGGGCAAACAACAAAATAACTTACAGGTGGCTCCGCTCGCTGTGGGTTCCCCAAGCCTCCATTGAAATGTTCCTTGCGCTGCAGTGCCCTGTGTGGCCTTTTGATGCTTGAGCTCTCCAAACGACATTCCGATCGACGCCGATGCAGGGTCCTCCTCGCAAAACCGCCATGGCACGCATGGCCAGATCTGCTGTTCTCCTCCTGCCTTGCCGCGAATGGCTGACGAGGCTGGGTCCTCCCCATATTTGCCGTCCGATCAACGTCATCAGGTCGAGTGTCGATTGGAGTTGACACTGTCACTGGGCGACGATCTCTTCGATTGTGGCCTTGACAATATCCCGCTGCCATTGCCCGTCGGTTGGAAACGCAAATCGCATGCCGTTTGTTGGCCGGGTTGGCATCGTTTAATCTCCCAAACACCTTGGGCGAGCACCTGTCCTGGTAGTCGTGGTGATACTCCTGGAAATCCCTGTCCAGATCCAAACCCAGGTTGCGATCCAGCTGGATTCGGGCGTTCAGGAGGCTCTCCGGGTGGTAGAGTTCGTCATCTACTATCAACGGTTCAATAATGGTGGGCGCAGGGGGTGGTGCCATGTCGGATACGTCGCCATCCTCCAACCTCCACGAGTCAAAGTACGACTCCCAGCTGTCTGTCGGCGTGACAGTCTTGGTAGAAGATGCTATTGATGGGTTTCTGTGGTGATGCGCCATGGCGTGGAGGTCGCTGACAAAAAGTAATGCGGCTCGGTAGATATTTGGTGTATGGGAAAGAGAGAGAACAAGATTGGTATACACCTATCCCACCATTCCTGAGGAGATATATTCGATCACGAGCTGGATGAAAGACAGTTCAAAGAAGTAAAGGAAGAAGACGTCCATGTGTCGTATTCTAACGGCTATTCCTATCCTTTTGATCTTTTCCGCTTACTTCCGTCCGGCCCAACAGCTATACAAGACTGGTCGGGGATGAACCATCTCACCCTCCCGCGACAGCCCTTCTCAAGCATGTTACCCACTCAGACTACCGGTTATATCACATGGAGTGTCACCGGGGATTTGCAGAAACCGCGCTCGCATGATGGTGGTACCCCTGAGTGCGAGGGAGGTCATACACACCATGATTCGACAGTTTCAGGCATTCCAATGCAAGGGGGGATCAGGCTTAACGAGCCGATACCAACTTTTTGGTCCACGAGCTATTCGTAGCTCCAACCGAGCTCTCCACCTTGTCAAGCGTCGAGGCTCTAACACGTCACTTCACTTCTGATCGACTTCGCTTCCGATTCGATAGTTCCCCCAGATATCCAGACATGGCAAAGCGACAGGTCCAAAGGGTGAGACCTCATAGGAGAGCCTGTCTAACGGTAGCACCTTATCGACGGGTCCTCAAGACCCCAGCCCACATTCTTCCTATGGAACCTCCCATTGACATCATGCATATTATATCTGGTGTACGAATGCCCTATATCCCACACGGAGGACAGACAGCTAACTCGCGTCCAACACGCGTCTGGAAATCCCGCGGAATCCATCCCCATGCGTTCTTCCAGGAAATTTTCCATGGGAAAAAAGGGGGTGATCAAGAAAGCTGTCAGGACGGATTCCATCCCCAGGGCATACCAGTCCCATCTGCCTGGCGGCCAGTCCAGCCCCAAGCCAACACTTCGCTAAGCATCGCACACACACTCTCTCTGTCCACTTTTTTGGGTTCCTCGTGACTCGTGGTGGTTTGCAAAATACAATTTCCTCTGCGAGTCTCATGACATGTCCACCCCTCGTAATAATAATCCAATCTCGAGTTCGCCCTCCGTCGCACTGTTTGGGGCTTGGTTTTCCCAAAATACGAGTACTAGTTCACACGTGGTGCATTTGTATCTCGTCGTATGACAGGACAGATCCAAAAGGTCCTTGTTCCCTGAACTAGTTGTCCCCAACTTGGGTTTCCCCAAGTCTCTTTTTCGAGTACCGAGTACTTGATCAGGTTACGCCGGCAACCGAATGTAGCTGGAAGTGAGGAGAGCGGGCAGTGGGTGGTGGGCCTTTCTTTCTGACCTGACTGAACCACCGTTCCTCAAAGTAGGTACGATAATACGAGGGGAGCTTGCACCGCACAAACTCGGGTACCTGGCTGTAGCTTGCATTTCCGGCGTCTATTTCAGAACGTTAACCACCGGAGAGATTATCCGGAAAAGAATTCCTCAGATGTCAAAAAGGACCTCGTCTCTGTAAAAGCGAATTCTGTGTTGTACTACACCAGAATATTGACGATTCCTGCTCTTTGAAGAGAGGGGGACGACCAGCAGCCCCCAACGTGGTTCGATGAATTAATCCCCCCAAGTAATGGATCTGACTCTCGCTGTAGCGAATCAGGCCAGGATCTGCGACTTTGCAAAAAAGGACGAAGGACGGGCTTGAAGGTTGTCCCCGTCGATCACCCTTTGCTCGGTGCTTTGGTAGGCTCATCATACTCGGTCCTGGCTCGGTGAACCCTTCAAACACCCCCAAAAATCCCAGCCGCCGATCAGCTTCTGCGGTAACTGCGGTATACTTATGGGTAGGTACAGCTGGATACACTTTGGCCACGGCCCGGGAGCCAGCGAGTTGGTTTGAAAGATTTCCTGACTCCACACCATTAAGCCAGAGCTGTGTCTCGTCCTGATTGGACTAGATAAGTTTTTACAGCGTATGAGGAGGTATAAGTTTCAAGAACCATACTAGCTCTGGAAAAGGAGGAGAGCTTGCGTCTAAGCAGAGAGGCAGCTTTCACGGTCCGGGTAACCATGGCAGAAGATCTTTCGAGCCCAACGAACCAAGAAAGAAAGCGCCTTTGCTTGGTTAGGTGAATTTCTTGTCTCTCTCTCTCTCTCTCTCTCCCCAGTACCGCTCTGGTAGCTGAACGAGCAAGCATTGTATCTCAGCAGCTCAAGACTGGGGCATCGGCCGACCAAAAAGCGAAGCGGCCGTGCGTCGAAAAGGACACGGCGTCCTGCGTCTGTTCCCGGCATCATCATCATCATCGTCACCAAACATAGGACCATTTGAAGAGTTCCACTCCCAGCAAAAGCTGATGACAACTTGGCAGACAGGTGTGGCAGCGAACGCCAGGATCATCACCGACCGTGCGCCAAAGTATAACCTCCCTTGGCCTTCTCTTTCGTGCGTGTTTAACATTCCGATCACGCACTCTCTCCGAGGTTGGTCGTGGTTGGTGTGGGTGGTGCATGCATTGCGCGCTGATGTGCGGTGCGCCGGCACATTCGTCACCTCCAGTCCCGTTCTTTTGTCAGAGAACCCGAGAGATCGACCACATTTTTTCCTCATACTGATCCGCACAGACGGTCGATCCGTGTACCCTTCGTAGCGTGGTGTATCCAGTGTCTCGATCCTGCGACCGTGCACAGGGTATGGATCCAGTGTGACGAATCATCTCTCCCACGCTCAGATCTAATGCCGGACGTTTTTGTCCTCCTTTGAAGGAACAACGCCATTGCTACAAAGCTCGAGGGATCGCAGAATTCCGATGTACACGGGAGAGGAAGGGCGGACGCGGTCAAAGGACTCGGACATTGCGCTCTCGATTCGTCAAACGTTCGCTGGAGCCATATGTTGCTGTCCACCTCTATCGCCTTGGAATATGGGAGGCTGGATCCCGAGATCTGCGACAGATCCTGCTGCTGCGCTTACCAACAATGGATGGCATCGACCTCTATGAACCTGATCAAGCAAGTGCTAGAAGTTGTCTTTGGAGGGGCTCCTGGATAGAGATGTGCACCAGTGCTGAGATTTGTGCTGCCTCTGAAAGACATTTCTTCTGAGAGCGCTAGACAACAACTTGAAGTTCGGGGAAACGAACTTGACCTTGGCTCATATGGGCTCATAAAGAAAATATGGGAACAAGACAGAGTGCAAGAGCCTCTCTGTGCTCATCGTAGGCTTCAACAGCAAAATTACTACGTTGAATGGCTTTTTATACTATGCTCATGTGACTTCGAGATAACCACTGGCCTTGTAACAAGGCTGTGGCACACTTTACAAGGCTGAACCCTGTTCTATTGCTTAGAATGCCAATTACCATATCACTGCCCTTGTGGTCCTCCTCACTTTCCAACAGGACCTCCATCAAGGAGCGCCCAATCCAACCCCCAAATGTGTCTGTAGGAATGCAAACGCATGCTGTCATCACTCATTCATTATAAAACTTCTTCATTATCAGATGCAAGAACAAGTTGACATTGACTCGCAGTGCTCCCTCAAAGAACTCCATGAATTGCGTGTTGTTGAACTGCGCCTGTAAAAGATCGTCGAGCGGCACTTGAGCATTGGCTCCCGGGATCATCATGTTCCCTGAGCTGCCGTCAATGGTGAAGACGCCGACTTCGTTCGAAGAGAAGGTCAAGTCCACTCGGTCCCATTGCCGTTCATTGTAGCCACGCCAGTGGACGAGCACGCCCTTGTCCGCCAGAGTTCGCGCCGAGTATTTGTACGAGCCAAATTTGAAGGATCGCCCAGAACGCTGGAGCTCGCGTTCGTGTTCCCATTGCTTGCTGAAGGGCATCACGAACCTTTTCTTGCTCTTCTTGTTCTGTAGAGTCACCATGGCTTGTTCAATGTAGTCGTTGTAAGTCTTCAGCTGCTGCTCGAGATACAATGCTTGCTCGTTCAGTCGTGCTAGGGTGGTCTTCACATTCTCAAGTTCACGCTGTCGTTGCAGTCTTCGCCGGTGTTTTGTTCGAATGTCAATGGCGATGGCGTTGAGAAGATCTTGGTACTGATTGGCCCGCGTCAATCGACCAATGGACTCTAGCTGCAAGATGTTTTCCAAAGCAATGCGTTTGAGGTCGGGATATGACAGTGAACTGATGTCGAGATGATTGTGCACGTCGGTATAAGCACCACGCCGTCCGTTCCCAGCGCCGAGTTCATCATTGACTAAGGTCTCCCATTTTTCCTCATCTTCTGGTGTGATTGGTTTGACCAGTATCTCAAGGAGGTTGGCCCCTGATTGTATTCGGATAATATAGAGGACGCATCGTTTGGTTTCGGTCAATAGAGTTTTTACATCCGCGTCTGGATCTTCCGAATTGAGTAGTTTGGGGCTCAATGTCAGGCTGATCTCGCTGGAGCTCACACCCCTGAGTTCGCTCTCATTGCTCTGGACGCTACCCAATTCCCTCAGGATGTCGCGGAGAACATCGTCCTGGTTTGGACATGTTGAACTGATCTCTTGGGACAACAGCTTGTGGATGGAGAAGATATCAGCCATTTTGATGTACAGGGTCGGTTTTGTTTTCGCATAGAGATCGTTGAATTCGTCAATATCATAGTGCTCCTCTGCTGGCGGTATTGATATTACTACCCACGGGTTAGCTTGAAGAACTTCAACCGGGACTGATCAACTTACCATGACTCCAGATCGCCGCGAATCGACTGATAGACTCACGTACATAATTGTTCAAGGGTTGCAGATAAATGTTGTCGCCGCCAAACTCACGACCTGAGGCGGCCTGGTTCAACACTTTTGCTATCTCCCCGAGATTCCGTTTTTGTTCTTGTGTCATGGCTCGATCAGCGACACCAAATTTCTCGGGCTCTAACAGAGCTGGTTGGAGGTAATGACGCCACAGCCACTGGCCCACGAGCTGAAGTACAAAATCAGCGTCTTCGCCGGGGAATCGTGCAACGAGATGTCCGTGTGTCTGTTGAACAACGAA